CTAACAATGCGTATACGTATACATCATCGGTACTATCAGCATAACAGCATTGGTACATATTTTCTGCCATCTTTCTGTATACGTATAAAGAAGGATGGCAAAAATATCAGTATTCTTCTTGTGCAGATTACATGGTGATGATTAACTTATGCAGACAGGATTGTCCATAGTCAGATCTTTAGTGGTAAAACAACACCAAAAATTCCAATTCTTTCTAGATGCAGTAGCACTTCGACACTTGGTAGTGTGCAGTAACGCCGGGCCGATTGAATGCGGGAATTTCCTCTTGGAACTTAAGTACAAGCCCAATCAAGTCCTAGATGGGGACTGCTTCCTCATTTAAGGGTCGGCATCTTCCAGTACAGCACCTCTAATCAACTGAGCCTTAACTTGGCACAGCCAGTTTCAGTGTCACTTAGCTGGGAGCTTTTACTAGTCAGGATGAATGCCTGCACAAGACAGCATTAATGCGGCGCTTATGAGCCCGATTTCTGCGTTTCGCCTATGTATTCGGTGTGGTGTGTGGGCTGCAAACTCTTAGCTGGCCGGTATCTTTCATCGAATCAAAAGTGGCCTCCCTGACCTCCCCCATTCATGTCCTGCCCACAAGATAAAACAGTGCTTCATTTATGCCCGTTATTTATGTTTGCTTAGCTGCATTGCCCTTCTCCATTCATACGCTCCATAAATTCTTTGCAAGGAAATATTGATTGTGGTTGCAGCATTTCATTATCTTCAGTGTGTGCCTTTATGTTCTTTGGATGCTCACAGGAATCCCTCTCTTCTTCCTTGTGCCTGCCTCTGTGGATCGCACGAACTAGAAAATGTAGCAACAGTAACTACAAAATGTAGGAAAATAGAAAACGTATGAATCAGATGTCACACACTATGGATTTCTATATATGAACTCAAAACAGATGAGTAATAGATTCTGCCCTAGATGGTTCAAATAAAAGAAGAGCTCTTTTACGGTGATTGGCATAGTACTTCCGGTATTACCTAGTACCGATCCCTCTGATTTCTTTTAGCCGTCCGATCTGGTGTGGGATTAAGAATGAGTAATAGATTCTGCCCTATATGGTTGAAATAAAAGAAACGCATTATTTTTGGATAAATGATGAGAGAAATAGGCTGCGAGTGTATGAGCTTATGTTTGTTTCTATATGGATTGTGGTCATGGAAATGCTAAGTACTCCCTCTGTAAATTAATACTCCCTCCGTCCGGAAATACCCGTCAGAGGAATGGATGTATTTAGATGTATTTTAGTTCTAGATATATTCATTTTTATGCATTCTTCGACAAGTATTTTCAGACGGAGGAAGTGTAAGGGAGTATTTGACTACCCCAATTCAATTATCCCAAAGATCTAAAAGATCTTATATTAGTTTACAAAGGGAGTATTTGACTACCCCAATCCGATTATCTTATGGAGTTGGGACCTTTATAGGAAACATGTATGGACTATGGACTGAAATTCTCTAAAATTCCAGTGAAAATCCTACAATAGAAACCCTAAAACATTTTTCGAAAGAGAGTATTTTTGCATAGAAGCCTCAGCCTTGTGTCTACCAAGGTGGAGAGGTCAGATCCAGTTTCATGAACTTTTTAGAAGACGTTGCATCTAACTGAAGCCTACGGGTGGAAGAGGGATGGGGGAATGCCTTTGTTCATAGAGGAGCAGACTGAAATGACACTACAAGTGGGCAGGGATCCAAAACTCCTTTTTCCCCTTTTGAAAATACGGACTTGGGACTCATTTGTAGTGGGACTGTAACTGCTCAAAAGGCCAGCAGCAGGGGTATCTATCTTGATAATACTACTATACTTTTCACCCGCAAAAAAAATTACCATACTTTTACTCAGTGTGTATGACCTGTAAAAAAACACTAAATTATATGAAATATGTTCTTGCATGTTTTTCCTAATAAATTAGTCTTAATTTCAAGCAGTTCAAACAAGGATGGTACTTTGATATGACTTAATTTCTCTATAAATAATATTTAATCTTCTTAATTCGTTCTGTTCCGTTCCAACCACCCCTGCATAATGGCACTATTCATTTCAGAGAAAGACCAACAAGAACTTAATAATACCTGCTGAAGTGCTGATTGCCTCCGTTTTTTTATATTTGCTTCTTTGCTCGTGTCAATGTTTGCCTAGTGTAGATGTGACGATATTTTCATTTTCACCCATTTTTCTGAGACATTAATTTAATCCAAACTAATGCTACTTAGGCCTTGTACAATGGGAGGTGCTTAGAGAGATGCTTAAAAAAATAAACCGAGTTTTTTTGAAGTACTGGTGCCTATTTCTATAGGAGAGACGCTTAGTTAAGCGTCTATTCTGTACAAATAAGCATCGGTGCTTAAAAAAAGGCTGATTTATTTCTCTATAAGCACCTCCCATAGTATAAAGCCTTATGAAAGTTAACACATGCTTCGGTACTCCCCCCCCTCCCCCCTAAAAGCTTGCACGAATCTTGAAGTTATTTTAAGAGTGAATTACGGTTTTTACCCTCTGTTTTGATATTTTTGACACTAATTACCATGTTTGGTAGGATTTGATCCGTGTTTCCACATTTAGCAAAAGTGTTGACACATTTTACCATGTTTAAAATTTTATGAGCGTTCTGACCGATGGGTCCCGATTGCAAGGTCCAGCTGGCATGCGACATCGGCGGGTTTTTTCCTGATGGTTTTTCTACACACCAAACCACATCGCCTAGCTTCTCCCAACCTGCCAGGCTCAATATGATCGCACTAGAGTAGCTCGCCAACGCCCGATGGCCAAGACACTGAAGTCAGGCCGCACCACATTGGCCTCCATTATTCACGGCACACATTACTCGCATTCCAATCGCACACATGATCCTGCCCTAGTCTGGCCCAAAACCACTACCTCCTTCTTTAGGAGGGGGTAGGACAATGTAGGCGACGAGCAGCAGGCAAGACTTCAAGGCGTGGCCGCATTGTTGGAGCGAGCGGCAGCCATTACGACAATCTTCTCCCCTCCCATGCATGGTCGCATTCTTTGTTTCTCACCCCTGCTGGTTAGGTTTTTTGTGGCTAGATTTTCTCTAAATCAGGGATGCATATTAGATAGGTTTAGACCACTCATTTCCGGTTCGAAGAAATTATGATGATGATCAACGTGGCATGTTTCCATTGAATAAATTATAGACGAAATTGTTACTGACATAATCTGAAATCATGTATGTTTTTCTTCAGTATTATCATATATGACCTTAAGTATGCATGATTTTGTGGATCAAATTAAAAGTAGTCGAGACATACTACTTCACTAACTCTGATGCACACACATATCTGAATACCTAGTCAAGCATGAACTAGTTAAATGATGTTTTAGAGGTTTCATTTCCCATGGTAGCAAATATGTTGACCGGTAGAGAGTTAGTATATGTTTCCCAATCTCATCTGGTGCGATCATATTAAGCCTGGCTGGTCGGGAGAAGCTAGTGTGATGTGGTTCACCATGCAGAAAAACCGTCAAAGGAAAAACCTGCTGATGTGGCATGCTAGCTGGACCTTACAATTGGGATCCGTCAGTCATGACACTCACAAAATTTTAAACAGGGTAAACTGTGGCAACACTTATGCTAAATAGGGTAAAACAGATGAAATCCCGCTAAATGGGGTAACTAGTGTCAAAATTGTGAAAATAGGGGTAAAACCCGAAATTCACTCTTATTTTAAAGAGGCTATTGCCATATTAGCATGCAAATCAATCGTTTGAATAGATTGATTTGGATGCAAATGGC